GGTCAAGGTTATTCGGAGGTCATTTGGAGCGGCGGACATTTACCTTCTCTTCGTATATTCAATTGGATGATTAGAAAAAAAATTTAGACATCTCCCACAGTTCGTAGGTTCTTTTTGTAAGTGTGTATGTGTGTATCAATGACAATTCTACACCATTCTCTAATATCAATCAAACGTCTAAAAAGTTGACGATATTATTTAAACCCATTTCTGATAGTAAATTGTATCCTATTATTCTAAGAATTATAAACTTATTTAAAATTTCATTGATTCGACGCGCTCGCGCGTACGGGTTCCGATTAAAGATTAATTTATCGTTAATACATGCTTTTAAAAAATAAATTTTTAAACGCAAGTTTACACTCAATTTTAATAGTTTAATACAATTCTTCTCCGTAGAAAACATGTTTATAATTTAATAAATTTTGAAAAAGATAGTTGAGTTGTGTGTATGTGTATGTGTGTCAATAAATATAATTCTATAAATTCGTGGACTAAATTACAAATAAGAAAAATTACTGTAGCGCAAAACGCATTCTTTATTGACACAAACACATAGGTAGAAAACATTATGTATTTGTAAGTTATTGATTATGTGTGTAATAATTGCGATCAGTGTACTGAGAATGGACTAATTAAATCCGAATCGTTTATATGCTTCTTGTTTATTTAATTCTTTGAATTTTATTTCATATGGAAGTGTGTTTTAGTTTTATGTTGTTAAAACTAATAATATCTTTTTCTATTACTTCTTTGTATAGACTAGACTGATTAGACTTTCCTAATAATCGGTCCATCTGTATGTTATTCTTGTCCAGAGGTATTCATAGAAATAATTTTATTTTTAAATAAAAGTTTAAGTACAAGAATCTCAATTTCAAAATAAGAATGTCCATCTTTTTTCATCAAAATAACGCTTTTACCGTTAGATCTATTTTTTTGCGTTTATTAGATAATAAGATAGATTATTGTTAATTATTATTTGAATCATACAGCTGAAACATGTAATGTTAATTGAAGTGAAGTTTATTCTTTGTTTGTAGTATCTCAGTTCTTTTATTTGAATATTTGTAAAAATGTTTCTATTTATCACACTCTTACTAGTCCTTTCGTATTACACAATCTTATTTTATAATAATTTGCATTAATAAAATAATTTTAGCCATTTTTATTATTGTTTAATTGATTTTGAAACGTTGAAAAAATTAATTTTGTATCTTAATTGTTATATCAAATTACTTAATTGCGTATTAAGAGATGTAATAAAATCTCATCAATTTTTTTTACTTTACTGACGTAAACATGTGGCTTTTACGGAAGGTTCCAGATTAATACTAACAATGAATCGTAATTCTATGAACACAAATTATAATCTTACGTAAGTACCGAGTAGTAAAAAACATATCCAATTATTTCATCGTTAATGTAGTTCAATACAAGTAATACTATAATGACACTTGTGCTGTAGCAAGCGTGTCGCAAGAATCGACTAATCATAATGTTGTCTTATGAAATCATTATTAGTAGTAAATCGTCGTTTAACAACGGGTTTTAAAAGTAATGATCTTTGAAGGACGACGATAATCGTGGCCAAATTTCTGTGGTTAACCGCTGCTCACAAGAAAAAAAGACAATTTCTCTTTGCAGAATACCATATTTCATATTGCCGCTTACATGCATCATTGCTATTATACCTATGAAGCGTCCTCGACTTGATTTGGCTTAAAATTTCCATTTTAATATTAAACGGAAATTGGTATGTTATTGAATGTAACTATAATAGAAACAAAGAAGAAATAAAATTAAATTAGATGAAATTTTAGCATTGCATTGCTCTATTAATAAAAACTACATTGAAACACCCTATTCATGACGTATTATGAAATTATAGAGCAACTCAGGTCCTTGGATAAATAACCTTGAAGCAAAAAATTAAGCATAAACCAGTTATGATGATTTGGGGCTTCCTACAAGTCATAAGAACTTAAAGTAAGTTATGTTAAAAATAAATGTGTAACTCGTAATGACGGTCAAAGCATAAATAATTTACTTTTTCTTCTTATATGTATGTATGTAAGATTCTAATCTATAATAAAGTTCTAGTTATTTTTAATAGTATGATATTATCGTTCTCAAATATAGCAATTATTTTTTTGTAATATATTTTATTCATATTATAGTAAAAAATTTGTATTTTAATAAAAAAAATATAACTTTTATTATATTTTAAAAATTAAACAATTACTTAAAAAGTAGTATTTATTAAAGGTAGTTTTCAGAATACAAATTAAGAGATTATCCAGACAACTCGAAGACCAAAATTGTGATGTAAGATATTTTAATAACGTCTTTTAGGCGTGTTGTATTCTATTTTTGGATAAGCATGATGTCTGAGTATGAATGATAATAAAAGAATTTCAAAAATGAAAACAAAGAAACTAACAAGAGTTTTTTACGCTGTAATTCGAACGATAAAGAAGTTTATTGTAAATTGCGATAAATCAGACGTTTCGGCTTACTTTTGAGCCATGTTCAATATATTTGATTAATACAATGTAGAACATTCCATGGTTAGACGAGAGAATGACAAATCCATCCATCCTGAATCATTTTAACACAAGGTTGGCAAGTAAAACAATATATCCTGGTATGAAATTGGTATCCTTGATCAATAAGAAACGCAATATAATAAAAATTAATAAAACTCCTCACACATGTACACACATTTCCGAATAAAAAGACATCGCGACCTCGTTAAAGGTGGATGTACTTGTATATTTATAATTTCATAAAGACAAGTTGCCCTTTTGCGATTAAGAAAAGTTAGGATAATTTCTCGCGAGTGTTCCACCTTGAGGCCAGTCGAACAAGACGATGACCGTCAAAATTAAGTTAAACGTGCGCGCGCGTGATTTCAATTGTAAAATACATTTGATTAATCACAAAATATAATTATTTCATTTTACATGCACTTTTATATGCGCTTAATATCGGTGTTGTACTGAATTGCGTTAAATTTTTTTAAACATATATTGTAAATAATTGTAATGTTTTAACGTAAAAAGTTTTTTTTTATTTTTAAAATTCTAGAGGTTTAAAATAAATTAATTTTATGTAAACACACACACTGCTCTTTAAATGCTAATTGCATATGTACCTATAATTTTATGACCGTTGCAATTGCCCGTTGCAGTTTGCTTTTCCGTAGGAAAAGGCGCAAACAAGTTTTCATCCTTTTACAGCTCGTAATTTATATTGTCATTAGGACCACCAAGGACAGTCAAGGAAAGACTAGCATAACAATGCAAAGAATTTTCACAATCATTTGTTTTTTAAATGTGAGTTTGCTGCATAACTGCAACGGCTTGCAGTACCAATGTTGCAACCGCTCATAGAGTAATCTAGTCTCCTCTTCTTATAAGCTTCTTTTAACTCATAATTTTTAATTTATGTAAGATTCAAAAATTTATATTAATAAAATAATTAAATTCTTATAAAATATACTGTACTGAATGTTTTTCTACAAATATTTTTTATCATTACTATTATTATTAAGTATACACTACTCAACAAAATCTATAGGGAATACTTTCAAACAAGGTAAAAATTGGGCAATATTCTGAACACCATAACTCGGTGAAAAATCATCTCAGACAAAAAATTAAAATAGCACTTTAAAGGTTGAAATCTCTACTTTCGAAATCTATATAATTAAAATTTCAATATATGACTGATACTTTACAGAATTATACAAACATAAATGGATATCCGTTACATCTAAAAGATTTTCACAAACTTTACAAAAGTTCTGTAACACGAGGTAAAAATTACATGAAAATGCGGTTTACAGCAGTCGAAAGAGTGAACCTTTAATTTGTTTTTTTTTTACTGTTTAATTTGTTTCTTTATCTTTATTTTGTTTCTTTTTAAAAGTTACAAACATTTTTGCTTTAACATTCAATAATTCGATGAAAAAAAATCATATAACGTTCAGTAAAAAAACAAATTAAAGGTTCACTCTTTCGACTGCTATAAACCGCATTTTCATGTAATTTTTACCTCGTGTTACAGAACTTTTTGTAAAGTTTGTGAAAATCTTTTAGATGTAACGGATATCCATTTTTGTTTGTATAACTCTGTAAAGTATCAGTCATATATTGAAACTTTAATTATATAGGTTTCGAAAGTAGAGATTTCAACCTTCAAAATGCTTTCTTAATTTTTTGTTTGCGATGATTTTTCACCGAGTTACGGTGTTCTGAATATTGCCCAATTTTTAGCTTGTTCGAAAGTATTCCCTAGATTTTGTTGAGTAGTGTATATTATATTAAATTAGGTTTTTATATTTTATTACTATTTATAAATTGTTATTAAAATGTAATCAACACAAATTCTTCTGTATTTTGAATTTTTTTAAATGTATTTGTGCTTTCATCATTATTATTATCACCTTTGAAATGCAATTCTACGGAAGCTGAAACAGTAATATTACAAATTAAATTGATACGAAATTTAATAATGTTAATAAGTATCTTAAAATATAGCAAAGAATTTATTGCGAAAAGTATTATTTTAGCCAGATCTTTTTCACAATAAATTTTTTACAGTATGTTTCAAACTTATTATTATTAAATTATTGATTTAATTCGTAATATTATTATTTCAGTTTTCATTTAGGATTGTGTTTTATAATCTATAATCAGTATGCAATCTGTAGAAGATAAATACCTATATTTAAATTTTTACAGAAGTATAAAATTTATTTTTGAGGAATCAATGTTGATATTTAAAACTAATTTGTAACGTGTATTTTTGCAGATTTACAAAATCAGACTACGAGATGTCGTACATTGTGGAATGGTACAGAGATGTGATCGACAACAAATATGGTGATTTTATAACAGAATTAAATTTGCAATAAATAATATTATTATACATGTTAATGTTATGTTGAATGACATTACATTATGTTATATTATATATATATATATATAAGATATATGAAGGACAAGAAACCATACGATTTGAGAAACACTCTAATAATTTATAATTTTATTCAAGTTCTTGTAAGCCTTTATCTTGTTTACGAAGGTTTGATGGCTGGTTGGTTGTACGAATATAGTTATATTTGTCAACCAGTCGATTATTCATATAAACCGAGTTCAGTGAGGGTAAGTCTGAAACACATTATTAATATAATAACTCTATAATAATAATACATAGAGCACGGAAATAATAATAATAATAATTTGTATACAGTACGAAATAGTTTAGCGGTATTGCAGTAATATTGCAATGTTACAAATTATAGTGCAAGGGACATCTCCCACTCCTCTCATATTTATACATTAAAATTATATGATATTTGTAGACACATAATATGTAATGCCGTATGCTTATAATAACATTCCATTAACATATTGCGATATGTTACATTGCAAATTTTCTCAAAACGGATGTTTTTATTGGCTACTCCAATATCACGATAATGTTACGACATAGAAATCTAATGCTACGCAATAGGTATATTTGCAACTTGGCGATTGTTCTATGCTATATAAGAAAATTGTAATAATAAGACTTTTGGAGACATTCGTATTTTTGTAACGCGACGGGTTCCTATCATTGCACCCGTTATTGCGAAAACTTTAAACCGGTGCTCGAATTCAGTGCAGATTCAAGTCCACTTTAAGTGAAAGAGCGTTCCAGAGCATACCAGAAGAAAATGTTGCTTGACTTGATAATTACAATGTATCATTAGTTCATATCATTAATAATATTTGTTTGATTTTTATGTAATTATGTTCTTGTAGATGGCCGATGGTGTTTACCTGTACTTCGTATGCAAACTGATTGAGCTACTAGACACGGTGTTTTTCGTTCTGCGCAAAAAAGATCGACAGATTACGTTCTTGCATCTTTACCATCATTCGCTGATGCCAGTCTGTGCTTGGATTGGTGTGAAGTTCTTTGCCGGTGGTCACCCGACTCTCCTTGGCGTCATCAACGCTTTCGTCCACGTTTTTATGTATACCTATTACATGTTGGCAGCATTCGGGCCGCATATGCAGAAATATCTTTGGTGGAAAAAATATCTGACCATCATACAGATTATACAATTTATTATAGTATTTTTCCACAACTTCCAAATGCTGTTTACTAGCTGTAATTTCCCTAAGCCACTGTCGTTTTTGCTCATGATCAATGCCGGCTTATTCATGTACATGTTTGGATCATTTTATGTAAATAATTATTTGAAGTCGAATGTAGGACGATTATCGAAAACTAATGGCGCTATTAATGGCTCTGTTAGAACTAACGGTAACGCAATTTCCAACAAGCATAATAAATCCAACTAAAAGACTTGCGGATCCCTTCTGATCATAGGACTGTAACTGTGAGAGTAGAAGAATGATTTTTCAAGGTTCTTATAAGAATAATTCACTAAAGAGCGGATTAAATTTTTATAAAATAAATGTAGGTAATCAAATGTCACGTTCGCTAAATAACGTGATGTTCTTCCAACCTTAGCATTATTCTGCCAATATTTCTATAATACAACGAAAATAGATTACTGCGAAGTAATGATATTTTATAAGTATAAATAAAGATAGATTTGTCTTATTTGTATCAGGAACGATCTACATATAAGAGAGAGAGAGAGAGAGAGAGAGCGATTCTTACAAACTAAATGTGATTTGGATGTATAAATTAAATCGATCTGTTTTTTGTGTTCAAAAATGCATTTATTTCAAAACAAAATGAATGAACAGATTAATTGAAGTATTGTCCATCGCTGGCTACTGCTTTTTCCCATCTCTCAGGCAATTTTCGAATTCCATCTCGAAAAAATAACTCGTCTTTGGAGGCGATCCAATTTTAGAAAACGGACCGAACTAATTTGTACTCCCAATATTACAGAGAGAATATTTGATTATTATTCTCGCATAAAATTTACAGATGCTTGTCTAAAATACTTAACGATATTAATATGATTATAATATGGTCTAGCATAAAATAATAGTAATAGTAAGTTCTAAATTCTGTTTCAAAGTTTTATTAAGAAATTCATGTTTGCGTCATATAAGTAAGATAGGCGTTCGATTGAAATTTATATTTTAAATTTTATTTCAAAACATATTTTGTTTTACTTATAATATGTTTTTATTATGCAAAACTATATCTACAAATTTATTTTCAAATCTCCTTTTATATTGTAAAAATAAATGAAATATTTGAGGTAAATTATTAGAACATAACTTTTGTTACATGTATATACATGTACTTATATAATATACGTATATACAACGTGTTTGACAAGTAATGAAAAATTCTATCGCATAGAGGTAAAATGGATTAAACTGAGAAGAAAGATCCTTTATCATTTTACAATTTTCGCAATAGTTAACGAGATATTAATTTATAAAATGTTAGTATTAAAAAAAATGAAGAGAAAATATGTGACAGAACATCTTTGCATTAAACTTTATATTTCATAACATATTTGAAAATTCGTCAAAAAATACATCAAGTCAGTGATTTAATTATTCTCTTTTGTCATATGCAACCTTGGTCAAAACTATAAAACACCTTCAATTTAATGAAGTTGCTGCATTTTTTTTTAAAACAGTAATAAAATCTAAAGAATTAACAAAATATTAAAATTGTAATAAAAATAAGTATTATTTTTAAATTTATTTTTTGTCAAATGTAGATCGTTTATATTAATTTATGGAAGTATTTTATATATTTATGGCCAAACCAATACATTACATTTTAATTATCAAAGTTTCGAAGAACATCATTTATACAAGTGTATTTATGTGTTATTGGGAATGTGCTACAATAATTAATTTTATAATCAAGCCGTTTCATAAGACGAAGTGCGATGTAGTGTAAAAAAAATAGGTATTTGTATAAGATTTTTTTATCAAACATTGATAAAATAGAAATTTTCAATACTATTATCAATGGTTGCACGGATAAAATAAAAACTAATTAAATTTCTTTTGAAATCTAGCTTCAATAAAGCCAATTCAATAGATAATATTGTACTTTATTTTTGTCAATATCAGAAATCTCTTTATTTAGAAACAAATTACAATAACATTTGTTTTGAAAAGACAATAATAACCTTATATATTTTATATATAATTACATACTATTATATTAACCCTTACTAGTCTAACGTTTTTTCGGCACCTTTAATGGTCTAACGTGGGCCATTCGTGTCTCGGCGTTTTTTAGACATGTTAAAGGGCTTTAAAAAATCTGCAAAAATTCATGGACCTTCATTAATTCTTCAATTTCAAGAAAAAAAAATTTGTATGTCGAAAATAATTATTTTTGTATATAATTTTGTATTAAAAATGGTGGTACCGCGTGTAAAATCACTCGATCACTTAAAAAATCATAACTTCAATCCAAATGAAGCTATCGACATAAATCAAAGTGGAAATTAAAGGTGAAGAGTGTACCTTTTAGGGGACTTGAACGACCCACGTTAGACCATTAAGGGTTAACCTGGCAAACCACACATATAACTTAGATGTAGATAAAATTACATAAGTGTCAAGAATATTACATGTATTATAATATCATTTGTAATGATAAATATATATAACGTATAACTCTACGTCAGTAACTTTGAATATGTTATTTCTACATCAGAAATAAATAAGTATCTAATATATTACTGCAATGTAATATAAACTTTTTTGACATATGTCTGATATATGTATATACAAAATATATATAAAATAAATAAAATAGATAAAATAGTATCGTTTCCATAATCATACAATATATCACTGTTCTTTCTATATGCTTTCTAAATTATATTGCGTTTTGGTTTGTTGGGAATAAACAATGCTGACTATTTAACCTTTAATTAATTTAATAAGGCATTATATGTATACAATTCATTGTTACAAGCTCGAAGTCGAATAATTTTCTGTTTTTATAACGAAATTTGCAAGTATACGAAGAGACAAATCACTAAACAATATACTTTACAACTCATCACAAATATAATTTTTCTTTATCATATCAGTTAAAAATTAATTTTATATAAAAAAATATTTACTGTTTATCTCTGTTAATGTCATTTTTTAATGTATTTTCTAAAAATTAAGATTTATTAAAATAAATTAAATAGCGTCGAAATATTATATAATATTGTATAATATTCACAAGAGCAGTAAAAAAAAGTTGTATTAAATGTTAAATAAATCCTTGTTTTTTTTAATTAGAAAATATTTTAGTTAAAAAGAGTATAAGTAATAAATTGTACATCTAGTATACATATTTAAATGTATAATATACATATAATACATATATGAAAAGTTATTCACAATGTTTATATTATATTACTACAGAGCTTCTGCATTAAACATTTTATATTAATCATAAATTGTGTAATCATATTAATGATGTAAATAATGATAAAGCTATTATATGAATTAATTTATATTATGTTTATTAATGTTTATTTTTATGTATAAATCCTCATTATTCGATATACAATAATAATAATGATTTTTAACGGTCATTTCCTTTACAGTTACAACTTCTTAATCGCATAAATAAGTATTTTGCAAGTCATGATGTGTATCATATCGGAAACAATGACGTGCTGATTTCAAACTCTGTATTTATAATTTAAGCAATGCTTTATTATAACAAAATATAATTTGTTTCTTTTAATATAATTTGTTTCAAATTTCACATATTTACAATGGTACTAATTATAAAAATTGTCAATTTTTAGTATGTATAATATGATTATTATACATATATAAACTTTCTAAAACCGACATAATGTATAATTTGACATTAATTTTTATATTATATAGGATTAATTTCTATTAGAAAAAATAAAATGAAATATTTTAATTGTATTTTATATTAACATAATTTTTGTAAGAAATATAATAATAAAATACAATATTAGGTAGTATAAACTGAGTTTCTGCAGTTTTTTTGCTTAAAAAACTCATTTATCTCGATCAAAAGCAAAAAATACGTCAATCAAAATATTTGCTCTCACTAGCTATACATTTTTCCTATCTTCCGGGCAATAAGTGGATTCCGCGACGATAGAACGATTGGTCTTTTGAAGCAATCCATTCGTCGATCCATTTTTGCACATCCTCGTAATTTCTGAAGTGTGTATCCATCAAGCCGTGCTGCATCGATCGGAACAAGTAATAATCTGAAGGAGCTAAGTCTGGTGAATATCCTGGGTGAGGGAGAATTTCCCACTCGAGCTACACCAGTGTTTCCTTGATGGCTTTTGCAACGTATGGTCGTCGAGCGTTCGCTTAAATGAATCTTTTCTCACTGAATTTTGTTGACAAATGACTAACTTCTAAAATGCAGCGTTTCAGATGCAAGAATTCAAGGTTGTGGCCTTAGAACTGTGGCCTTAGAGTATTAGAGTTCTTCTTTCCGCTTCATATAAATTTCACAATACTAATAACAAGATACATAAGAGTATCACATACTTTATTTTCATCTTTATCAAATATAATAAAACATGCCAAATCTAAAATAATTTGGAAATAAATTTTCTATTTTATTCAGCTCTAGATAATTTACATAATCAGAAAATTGTTTTAAATAATTTTTCAAAGAAGATATAATTGTAAAAATTTTATAAAAATTAATATAATATATTAATATAATAAATAATAAAAAAGAAATTAAGGGATATAACGTTGAAAGACAAAATTAAAAAACCAAATTATAAATACAGAATATTGTAAAATTTATGAAAATATTTTTTTACTTTCAATACAATTTTATATTATTTCTATTACATTATTTTTTACAAATATATATGATTACCTGCAAAGTAACTTATAGGTAATTTATGAAAAAACTTTCTCAATCCTACTTATAATAGTACTTTCACTTATAATAGTACTTTAAAAGTTTTAGTGGCAATTCCTTAAGAAGAATAACAGTACACGGCAAGAATTAATTATAACTGTGAACTTAATTGAGAAGTGACAGCGATAATGGAACATGAAGTATTATTACGTTTCAGTGACGGTACGTTAAATTGTTAATTAAGTAAGACACACATTGCAATCGTTGTCTGATGTTTAGTATTAATTTTATACTCTTAATGTTTTTTTATTTTACGATTATGAGATTGATAAGAATAATGATTAAGACAATAACAATACGACAAATTTAATAAACAAATAATAATTAAAATTAAAAAATAAGAATAAAGATATAATTAAGAAATATATATAGATATTCTGTTGTTATATGGATTGTCAAAATAAGCCAAAACTCAATATAACATAACGCACTGTAATAAATAAAAAGTTGAAATATTTGAAATTTGTTTAAATATTATTTGGTATGTGTATAAATTGTGATTTTTTTAAGATTTGCTATTTAATTAAATCACTATTATTTCAATTTTTACACAATCTTTCAAATAACAAGAATGCCAGAAGTCAATAGCATAGAGTTTCAGAAGAAACTTAATGTTTGTTGCAAGTTATACGTATATTAATAGTTTATTCACGAAATTCTAACAAATTAAAGTAAACAAAATCGCAATGTAAATAGGAAAAGCTTTATATTCATATTAAATCTTGGTTAAAAGGTATTTTCAATATAATCAACTTTAAGAATATCTGTTTTACGCGGTCAGTGGCCTGTGTTACAGTACATTGTATGTTAAACGACCAGTAAATTTATCATGAACCTGAATATAATTAAATAAAACAAAATATAGCTTTTTGTTGTGAGATAAAATAATACATTCTTATAAAACTTCTTTGATCTGCTATATGATCAAAAAACAGTGAAATTTCATGTTAATGAAAATTGTAGACAAATGGAAAATAATTTTTTTTTTTATACAAAAATTATAAATTAAAAATAACCCTTCCATAGAACAATTTAGGATCTTTAAAATCAATCTTGCATTTTTTGTACTACTAATCGATGATATAATAATTTAAGTTTTCGCATGAGCAACATTTTTTATAATAATACTACTACATATAATAATACTACATAAATAAGACTACTAGAATTGTACAAACATTGATAAGTATCCGAAATGAGATCGAAACGTATGTAATAGGAAATGTCATCTAATTTTTGAATAAATCATATCACACACAATCAACCAACTGGCTCTACAAGGCATTATTTATCGACTATATGATACATCTCTACCGAGCTTTATTAATTATATTATTCTTAAGTATAAATAACTTTACAAAAAAATTCTCAATTTTTTGACTGTAAAATATATCAACAAATTTAAAAAATATAATAATTAAATTAATATATAATAAATAAATTAGAAGTTCTTTGAAAAGGATCCAAACTGTGGATCGAAACGTAAGAAAAACTGTACATATACAATAAATCAAAGTTTTACACACATCAACATCCGGTGTACAAGATTCGATTTGACACGTCTCTTCCTTTGATTAATAATTAAAAGTTACGATATTTTAAAGATGCCTAAATTGACTTGGAATGTCTTATAATCATAGAGGTCAAAAAGTATTGGATGGAATACAGTTTAGGATGGATGACCATTTAAAAAAATATAAAATTAATTTTTGAATTTATAGAAAAACATTTCTTTTAATTTTAATTTTGCCGTGTGTATTCTGAAATATAATGTGCGTGTGCGTGTGCGAGTTCGCGCGCGCGCTACTCATCAACATTTATTTTATCAACAAAACTAATTAATTTTATAGTTTTCCTTTTTCTTATCAGTATATAATATATAATTATATTATTATACAACATTATAAACATATTTTATATGTAATTACATATAATTATATACTATAAACAATTTTTTCAAGCGAAATTAATAATTTTGTAGTTGATTTCCAAAATTTTTAGTTTTAAATTAATTTAAAAATTAGAAAATTGTATTTACAGAAAACTAGAGAAAATTAATACTTGGTTACATGGAACAATACAGTGTGTTACTATTAAATATTAATAGATAAATATTTTAATGGAAGGCAAGGAAATAATTTTTTTTGTTAGAAACTATGTAGAAATAGCAACGTCACAATATGCATATCTTTTCTTGAATGTCGGTCGCGATTGTTGCAATGCTTCATATTCGCATTCTTAACAATATATCATACGTCTGAACATTGTAAGTGCAATTACGTTGCAATTAGCCGCAATTATTCGCAAGAAAGCTAAAACTGAAGAATTGTGTTGCAGACAAATTAGCGGCTTAAAAAATTTTGGAAATTAATTATATGTCAACTACAAGGTTGTCAACTAGAAGAGGTAAGTAGAGTAAAAGCAGATAGATGCAATATGAAATATTCGTTTGTAAATTTAAATTACTCCAATATAATGTATTTTAAAATGTGTACATTAAAATATATATATTAATTATCTATTTTATACATAACTCTTAAAAAAATATTACATATAATATATAATTAAAAATCCGAGAAACGGTTAATATATAATATTAATATATAAGCTAATATATAATTAAAAATTAAAAGACTCTTGAAATATAAATTATATTAAGAAGGAATAAAGGCTAAAATAAGAGGCATGCATCAATATGGTATTAACATAAAAAAAATTAATATCTTCAAAACTTGTATATTAATAAATTTGCAAAACGCTAGAACATTTTTTTATTTAAAAGTTACAAAAATAAGATAATTAAGAAAAGATCGATGCTGTAAAAATATTTTCATAATTTTCTTATTTTTCTAATTTTTAAATTAAAAAATGTTCTAGCGTTTTGCATATTTTTTAATATATATGTGTTAGTTTTTAATATATTAATTTTTTTCGTGTTAATATATATACTAATGCGTGACTCTTCTTATTAGCCTTCATTCCTTTTTAATGTATAATATATAATTATTGGAAGTCTTCAAAATTTAAGTTTAATTCAATATTAAAGACAAAATGAAAAGTATAAAAAAATGAAAGTATTTGAAAGATAGAAATTCTATGAAATACGAGTTAAATTTCAGAAACAATAATAAATAATATAATAAAAGGTACATTATATAATATATAAACGTTATAGACATAACTATATTCTATATTTTCTATTTTTAAAATATTTTGGCACATATATCTTAATCTGAATAACAAAATTTTTTCGTGTTAATAAAAGAGTTAAGAATCTCAATTATAAACAGCATAACATTACTCATCAAACATTATTAAAATCAGCTCTAGTCTATAAACGTTAAAGAATTTACTTTCAACTTTTAGGTATATTATAATGTCTCCAGGAGCAATTAATATAAATAAATGCTTAGGTGGCTATGGAAGAAAATTTTATGTTGTATCAATGAACGGGTTGAAATGGGCAAAGGTGAATGATCAAAAATTTGCCAAATGGTGAAAGGTCGAAATTTAAATAAAATTCCAAATTTGGCGATTCTCTCTCTCTCTTTCTATCTCTCTCTTTCTCTTTCTCTTTTATTAATATAATCATCTATAAATATTTAATACTCTTTTTTTCATAATTGTAATGATGGGCCAAGTTGCCTAAGAGGTCAAGTTACCTAAAAGGGGTAAACATCAGTGCGATACTTGAAAGATGCCGTTCTTATTACACAAGCCTGCTATAATTATAATACAATGAAATGTTAACATCGTGACGGAGCGGAAAGGAAAAAGGCATTGCCGCAGTCAGTTTGCAAACTTCGTGGCGACTAGTCGCGTTGAAGTAAATTGTTGAAAAACGCAATCAGTAAAAGTATCTCCTAAATGATCAATTAAAACATTAAAATTCGAGCTAATCAATTCGTCGGAATTAAGATAACTAGGAATAAGTGCATTAAAAAGCAGAAACTGGAAACACGCTTGTTTTTGTTTCTAGCACTGCTGATATTGATAAAAAAAAAAGAGTAATTAATCAACGTGCGTTTTCTTTTATTATTCATGTGAATATCGTGATAAGCTGTAATCGCATGACGATTCTTTTAAACAATTGCATAATAATAGCACCAAAGTTTATTCAGAATCGTCACCATGGCTACAATGATACAGGAACTTATAGCATGGTATAAATACCTTAATGAAGATGTAGCGGGTAAGTGTGTGTGTGTGTGTGTATGTGTGTGCAGTGTTTTATATTATTACTCGTACTTATAAGATACTTACCTTTTACGTAACGTTTCTTATTTACGGATATTTATTTCATATTTTTGGAATAATTTATTACAAGGGAAATATATGTATATTGTAAAATATTATAAAATCAACTTGTAATTTGGAATGTAAAGGGGAATGAAATTTGTATGGAAAGTTCAGATATTCTGGATATTCATTCACTGTAAAACATTTCAATTGCGCTTGTATTAATTTATAAATAAATAAAAAGTATATACGTTATATATTTATATGTATATACATATAAAAGGTGTACCATTTGAAGTTTTGAATGTAATGATATGTCCCAAATTATTCATTAAACTATTCAAAAAAATGTTTTGAGGAAAGCCTCTTTTGACGATCACAAATTCTCTCTATCTAGATAGACGTGCCTCCAAGATTTCAAGGTGATGTTTATTTTTTTAAATTGAATTATGTGATACCGTAAAAAAAAATTAGCAATGATTTAGTAGATAATAATAATAAAATAATAATGAGCATAACAGCCTTTTTTTACGCTGAACGTGTTTTGCAAAATAAAAACAATAAAATAGACGTTTCGCCCATTTTATTTTATTGAATCAGCCTCAGTATTTATATCTAGTCTAAATCATTTGCGTTAAATTAAAATATATACGAATTATATAGGTTTTTCTAGATAATAATTTTTCTAATTATTTTGCATATAAAAGTATTAATAGAGACATCAAAGAATCAATAGTTTACAAAGTATTTTATACTTTATTTTGGCACATATTGACATGAAATATTAGATATCTCGTAAACTATTAATTTTTTTTATAATCGTACCTTAGTACACTTATGAATAAAATAATGAGACGTATTGGTACAAAAAAAACACAGTTGCATATTTAAAAAATTATCTGTTTTGTTTACTTATTTTTCTTTATACCATTTGATTTATCTCATTATTCTATCTATCAAAGTGCTAAGGTACAATTATCAAATAATTAATAATTCAGATACTTAATATTTTATATTAATATGTGCCAAAATAAAGTATAAAATATCTCGAAAACTATTAATTTTTTAGTGTCTTTATTAATACTTTTATATGCATAATAATTAGAGATATTATATTATGTAAAAAAGAATATATAATTCAATTTAAAGAAATAAAGGTCCTCTTGACATCTCTTGCAGGTACGTCCACTTCAAAAGAATTTATGACCACCAAAAGATGTTCTCCTCAGAGAAACAAAGTAAGTTTCACTTGAAACCTTTTTTTACAGTAACAAATAGTTTCGGATGCAATACAATTGTATCCGAAACTTCAAATAAGACACCCCGTATAAAGAGTTGGGAAAGTTACTTTACAAGTTATTTCTTGTTCTAAAAGTTGAATATAGTAAGTTCGGGTATTTTATTTTTCATATTTTATCATTTGCCCTAATTTTATATTACTTCAGCAATTAATTTTTATAACAAACATATACATATATATAAGATTTATAAAATAATCTAAAAAGTAAGTTAAAATAAATAATTATAAACAAACTTTTCAAAATCTTGACAATGTACATGTATAAATATATATTATATATGCGCGCGCATGCATGTGTGTGTGTGTGTGTGTGGGTGTGTGTAAGAGAGAGAGAGAGAACTATTCAAAGTTTACATGTATATATGATTAACAAAAATATTTACATAATTTACATGCAACAAATACTGCTATTATGAATACGTATAAACAAATACATTTCTCTTTACTAAATACTTCTTAAAATAATGTGTTCAATATGTTAGAACTTGATTTTTAAAATCCTTTTACAAAATAAATCATATGAATATATGTATATGTATATAGCCTCTTAAAAGCTACATTTTAGAGAAATAAAAAATAATAGAAATTCTTTTACTCATTAACTTTTTTTTAATAGCTCTTAAGCAATAAAAGATTAAAAAAATTTTATATAACCTATTTTTCTTCAAAATATTGACATTAAATTTGCTACATGTACAGAATTTCTCAGGAGTTTTTATATGCAAATAGAGCGGATTAAACTAAGTCAAAAAGTTCGTTATAACTTTTCAATTTTCGCAATAGTTAACGAGTTTTTAGTTATTAAAAATCACCGCATTAGCCCGGCGGCGAATGCAAGCGCACGGCAAGTGCGCACGGAAAGTTGTTTATTAGTAATAAACAACTCCGCGTGCCTATCAATCTCGATCGCTATGTTGCTTTCCAAAACTTAACTCTGTCAACCAGAGTATCTTCTATCCTTGTTTAACCTTTAGTAAACAACAAAGCTAAAATAATATTCAGGTTGACAGAATCAAATTTTGGAACGCACTCGGAGACGGCTGCATCTCGCCGTGCTTATCTACATTCAGCGGCAAACCGGGCTAATATTTTTAATAATTAATAACTCGTTAACTATTGCGAAAATTGAAAGGTTGTAGAGCTAGAAATTTTCGACTCAGTTTAGTCTGCTCTATCTGTGTATTAAAATAATCCCAAATATTTTGGGATACCTTATATATATATATATATATATATATATACATACACTCTCTCTCTCTCTCTACGCTATACAGTTTTAATAAGACAGCGATAAGAAGCAAAAAATAAAGCCAATGCCTTGCTAATTTATTGAAGCAAATTTAAAGAAACTTTTTTTGTTTAAGACCTAGTTAAAAAAAATAATTTTATAAAATTTTTATCTAGTTGTTTTTTTATAAGCATATCTTACTGTTTGATCAAATTTTTTTTTTTAATTTTAAGAATGTTTATTTGTTTACTGTTTTTTTTTAATACTATACATATGAGCGCATTCTCTCTCGTAATATATAAAACACGATGATTGACGTATATTTTCATATTATTAAGTACATTTCCACAGCATCAATTTTTTATTACTGCTTGCAAATTCTGCTCTCATATACACACATATGTCATAATAACAGGGCAAGTATAGGTCAATTATTACTACAAAATTATTTGTTTTGTAAAAAAAATAGCTGGTCACAGTTTACAAAAGAAATAGTAAGAAATGATAGGCAACTTTATTACTATTCTCTTATTAATTTTTATTTTATTAGATTCGTTAATTTATATGATTGAGATAAGGCTCAATATGTATTAAATAACTAATATAGGAGATAAGGGCAAGAGCCAATAATACCGTTAAAACCTTTTTTAAAAATAATCTAATATATATTACGAAGAATATCTCATAATTATGGCGTTTCGTCCCAACTTCCACTACTGGACTCATCAGTAAGGCATTGTAGTGGAAGCCTACCTTAGACGCCTGTTTAAGTTATTAAATCGAGATTCTATATATACAGATATACGCGTATCAAAGCACTTGCGAGAATTTTTGCGAATATCTATAAACCTCTGATGGCGGGTCGACGTAGTAATATTCTTCGCAATATTTATTTTAAAGTAATATATGTAATTCCCCTCCCACCCCCTTCTTTTTCAACTTGCGCGCCGAACATTCGTCGGTCTTGAAATGCAACTTTATCTGAAAATTTCCCCCGTTAATTTATGCCTAAATTCCAAGCAGAATCGTAAGGCTTGTAATATATTCTCGACTTACAAGAATTTTTAAGTGTATATGCCTTTATACAATATCTATAAAGACAGTTTTTTGCTAGCTATAAGATTGTAAGACAAGCAATCGTAGATATTTACGAATAATCGTACGTTTTACGATACATACGCATACAATTAGAACACTTGATCATAAGTTCTTACAAGTTTTGCTTGAACAAGTTATGAGTCTTATGATTCTGCTTAGAATTGATTCGTTAAATCTTCTAAAGTTGATATCTAAATCTGTAGCACAATTGAGTCCGCGGCACACGATGCTTGTTTTCTTGCTGAATTGCTAATTGGATCAAATTCTTGCCACCGGATTGGGTGCGATGCTAGCACTGTCTGCACCGAAACCAATCCGGTGGCAAGATTCTAATTCAGCTAGCACTCCAACAAGAAAACAAGCATCGTGTGGCGCCGGTTTTACTAACACTGACAATGAGTCTGTAAGAACCATTTGACTTATGTCGACTAAAATAGGTATAACTAATTAATTTTAAAATGTTTAAATGACACTTTTATTTTAAAAAAGAAAGAATATTGAGTTTATCTTAATAACAATAATTTAAATTTGCAAATAAAATATAAAGAACATAATTGAGTGAGTCGAATAAAATTAAGTTAGCTCCGAAGGTTTAATTCTCCGTCGACAATATGACTTTTAACTGTTTCCATCAGCAATAGAGATCTCTTATAAATATTTTAAAGTGATGTTTTAAATTTTGTTAATAAAAACTTTATATAAATGTTTATTAACAGTATACATTCTTTACGTCAGGCTTTATACTTTATACACAATTGTAGAATGTTTGATAACAATCATATAAGATAATATTTAATTATAAGATAATATCTATGTCAAATTGATTTAAAATATTTAAAATAATTATTTGTAAATAATATTATTTAAGATGCATTTTATATAATATATAATAAGAAATATTTAATTTATACCTTTTAATACTTTACATATTTAATGATTTTATTTATTTCTTATATTGCCAGATCAACGTACAAAAGATTACTTTCTCATTGGTACACCATGGCCTGGCTTAACTTTGATTGGATTTTATGTCTATTTTATATATAATCTTGGACCGAGACTCATGGAAAAAAGACAGCCTTTTACATTATACAGGATATTGCAAATATACAATGTGACACAAATTCTATTAAATGCATATTTATTTTACAAAGTAAGTTACATTATATTCTAAATTAATTATTTAATATCTAATTTGTTTTACAATAAGTATATGAAACAAGAAAATATATCTTTTATTATTTATATAATTTGACAGAAATTAAAAAATATTTTTTTATTAAATTACATAACTTAATAAAGAAATAAAAAATGATATTTCAAGAAAAAAGACTTCTAAAAGTATCATATATTTTATGAACTTTCTGATATGCTTAAACAATTAAACATTACGCATACAATCCGTAATTTAATAATTATTTGATATAACTAAATATATAAGACTGTCATTCTATTTACAAAAATTTATTTTGTAATTATACATTTCAGGCAATGACAATGGGTTGGATAGGGGAATTTAGTTACTTTTGCGAACCTATCGATTATTCGAACACGCCAAAGACAAGGGAGGTAATTGTAAAAAGAAATTAGTTAATCAGAAATTGATTTTTGCTATATCTGGAGCTAATTAATTTTAAATATATTCATTTATTAAATATATTTTGTGTAGTTTAAAGTAGCGTAATTTTTTTTAATTTTTATAAAAACATTTTTTAGTTTTTATAAAAATAAAATATATTTACATTTGTTTCATATGAGGTAAAAATAATCAACGGATTAATGTTTATCACTCGTATCTGTTGCAGATCACTAGATTGGTTTGGTCTTATTTTATGATAAAGGTACTAGATTTAATGGATACCGTCTTTTTCGTACTCAGAAAGAAGCAAAGCCAAATAACGTTTCTTCATTTATATCATCATATTGGTATCGTAATGGGTACTTGGGGTGCCGTTAAATGGTTGCCTGGTGGTCATGTCACATTCCTAGGTATACAAAAGAAATGCAAAAATTTTACTTTGAATTTTATTTTAATTATGCTTTATATACATATATATACCGAGGGGGTAATCACTTAATGTAATCGTGGGACAGAGTCCCTGAAATCATTATAAAATTTGTACAAAATTTCGATATATAATTCGACAATTACAAGAAATAATTGTGTAATATTAGATAAAATCGTTAATTTTACCAAATGACCGCATATATAGTGAGGAAAATTATTTGTCATCAAATAAAATTATATAAAATTAAATGAAATCATGTAATCTGTGGGACAATATTTCAGATAGTGGTTACCCCCTCGACATATACTATATCCTGAATACATATAATAAAAATATAAGATTAAAATACATCGTACATTTTACGATATAATTAATTCTCATTATGTAAACGTTTATGTAATGCATATTTAAGTTAAACAAGAGTCATTAATGTCCAAAGTATTTTTTAATGGATTAAATGGTTCAAAAAATATTAAAAATTTTTTTAGCTTCCTTAACTATTCTAAGTAAAAAATAGATAAACATAATTCTCATTACTTGTAAATTTTACTCTGTTTGTTTAATGTATTGCGATTTTGAGTTAATTACATTTATATATCTTTTTAAAAAAATTATTAGCTCTTTTCTCTTATTTTTAATCAATTTATAATTCTCATTATTTTCTATTAAGTATAATTCCTTTTCGTCTTTATGTTACTTTTAATGTTTTTATCAACTATAATTTTTATATTAAAAAAATAATTCATTTTCCCTTCACCATATAAGTAAGGATCATTTATATCATATTTAAGAAGTATTTTATATCGTTTGTGCCTATACTTCGTTCAACAAGAAAATGACCTCGGATCGGTTGAAAACTCGTCTATTCGCGCAGGTTTCCAACCGTTCTTCACAGCGTTGTATAGCAGCTCGCTAATACCCCGTATCAGAAGATATTATCACAGAATTAAATTACTCTTTATTTATTTATTTGTATTTCGTTATAGTTATTCCAAAAATAATATCCTTAATTATCCTGCCAATTCACAAATTCTACACAATAAAATGGAAGAAGAATTTGATATCAAAATATTATCGTTAGGTATATACGGTAATGGATACTCAAAAAAATTATCTTTTTAAAAAAACGGAATAAAGGCGTCAAGTGTGCGTGTTCACCTCACAAAAGACCGTTGCATATATTATTGCAGTATACAAAAAATGAAATAAAATTGCGACAATTGTGAAAGGAATATATTTTCTTGCCACATACATATAAACGTATACTTTATTTCAAAAAGTAAAAGTACAACAAACTTAGCGCTGCTAGACCTCAAAATATCATAATGTTACATAAAAGAAATGAATATAGTTTAATATTTATTTTTAAATTAACATAACTCACTCATGTATACCTTATCCTGTATCTTTGATTTTTTGTACATGTATTTATACTTATTCTGTATAAAATCTCACAATCTCATGCTGTGTGTTTACTTGGCACGAAACACTATATATACTGTGTCTCTTGATAATCTGCATCTTAATACTGTATTTTCTTTCTTAAATCTTTTCATTATTTTTTTTACTCGGTATTATTTAACCCGTAGTGGTCACACTGGGTCTGTTTGACCCGAGGCAATTTTTGAGGTGATGTAGTCAATAGATCAAGTAGAACGCAAATGACGACTGTTTTTTTGCGTCGGATCAACTGGAACCAGTGTGACCAATACGTTATTTTTAAGAGGTGTGACCACTACGGGTTAATAACCATCTCATTATTGTATATTTTGAGGTCTAGCAGCGCCAAGTTTTTGTACTTTTACTTTTTGAAATAAAATATATATTATATATGTGGCAAGAAAATATATTCCTTTCACAATTAGTACAATTTAAAGATTTCATTTTATTTTTTGTATACTGTAATAATATATATAACGGTTTTTTGTGAGGCGAACACTTGGCGGCTTTATTCCCTTTTTTTAAAAAGATAATTTTGTTGAGATATCACACATTTTATAATGTTAAATATCTTTTATTACATGTGCATAATTAATATGCATAATTAACATTCGAACAGTATATCGTAAAATATCAATTCAATAACAAAATATTACAAATATATCAATTAAAATAAATTCATAACTATGTTCATTTATCTCGTATGGTAAACATTTGTATTTACATCGATATAAAATAAGATATGCTAACGAGTGCCATCTGACGTTTAAAATGTGAATCAGATAACATTTCTGAGGACGATAATGATGATGATGATGACTTATCTGACATCGAAATTTGACAGTTCAAATTTCGTATTGCAACATCTCCATTCATAGAGTATGTAGGCCATAAAAACCAATTTTATTATATAAAATTATATTTCTGAGTAAATTAAGAATACAGTCGTTATTGTGAGATCCGATAATTTCGGGTGCTCGGAACTCACCGAATCGCGTAAATATATGGTGCGGTCTCGCTTCGCGTTCATTCACTTGGTGCGACACTACCATGTCTCTTGGGAGCCTCACTTCACTTGTTATATCACCTCCCATGCGCAGAACGAGGTCATTCTCTCATTGAACGGAGTATAGGCAATTTTAAAATTACAAATATTTTTAAAACAAGTTAATACAGACGCGCCGTATAATTGACTAATAAGTTTCACGCACTGACAAAAGCATCTTTAGTCTATGTTAAGCTAATTACGAACAATATGTTTCAGGACTTATTAATACATTTGTTCACGTAATAATGTATACGCACTATCTATTAGCGGCCATGAAGATAAATACAAGTTTATGGAAAAAGCACATCACTCAATTGCAGCTAATCCAATTCTTCTTGATCACTTTACACTATCTGCAATTAGCCTGGGTAGAAGATTGCGGTTTTCCAATATGGCCGGCATATGTGATGGTACCGCAGAATTTGTTTATGATTATATTATTTGGAGATTTTTATTATAAAACATATATCAAGGAAAAATCGGCAATCGAAAAAGTAATGACAAAAATGGAAATAAACGGCATCTCCACTGAAATTTCGAATAGAAAATCGAAAGAACAATAAATTCGAAACACAACGTCTTGTCTAATATCTTATCTTTTCTGATCTTATTTTATGTTTCACATTGAAATAAATCTCAAAATTAGATAATAGGTTTGTTTGCGTTGCTTGAAATTTCCAGAAATTTTTGCACTTACAAGGAAATGATTATATATTCGAGCGTTAAGAGAGAAAAAGCGAAGATACTGAGTGCAAAAAATGCAAGAAACGCGAATAGACCTATTAATTGCTCGGGACCTGAAGATCTATAATTTCACGATTATCACGTTAGTTTAAAAAGTTGTTTATATATTGAATATTTTACAATACATATTTTATTTCTTATAAATCTCTATTATATTAAACCTAATACACTATTTAACAAAAAATGTAAATAAATAAAGGTAATTATTTCTCATAGTTTTAAACGCTGAATATGCTTTTGTTTATTCTATAATGTCATACTTTTAAAAAATTTGTAATTAAACTTGAAAACATTATTTTAGTATATTTTTTATTTATTATTTATTAATATATTTTATATATTAGTAAATAATAAATTGGATTAGTATTCGAAACCTGTAAACACTCTTAAGTTTAAATAACACACATAATTAAAAACTATTAGTTAAATCCTTAATGTAAACCTAGGTGTAATTGTAATTTCAAGACAATATACTTTACACTAATTTTTAATTATAACTTACATAACAAATTCTTTTTAACTCTTAAAATTTTTAATTATAGTTTATGTATTTTATGGATCGTTGAGATCCACAAGATATTTATTTATTATTCCAAATTATATAAAAATCTGCAAAAATTCTTGTACAGTTCTGAAACCTTCAGCAAGTTTTTACTATAATAAGAACCAGAAGTAAGAACTATATTTATTTATTTTTTACATATTAAAATCTGAATAAGAGTGTTGATAAAACGCGAAATTGGTTAAAAGTTCATAATTTTTATTAAAAAAATAAATAAAAATAAATCTTTTTAAATTATAATACTTGAGGGTATGTACGTCGACAAAAAAACGATTTCAATAAGTTGAATTATTTGAGCACTTGAAATTAAAAATTTTTATACATATGTACAAAAATAGCTTCTTTACAAGAAATATTGATAAAGTGTTTTTTACAGTATATTAATTATAACTGTACATATATTATAAAGAACATAATTATTTAATTCATTTTAACAAAAAATAAAATATGACTTTGAATTTTATAAAATCTATAAAGTTAAATTTGAAAGAAGTCAAATAAATGATTTATAATTAAAAGCATGAAACATTTTAAAGCAAAATCTCTATAACCATTGAAAATATCATCAAAAACATATAAAATACAAGAACAAAAAATTTTTCTATAAAAATACATAGATTGCAATTTTAATCATTGATAGTACAGCTTTTTATTCGTTCTAACAACAAAACCAAGGGGGTAATCACTTAATGTAATCATGGAATAGAGCCCTGAAATCATTATCAAAATTATATGAAATTTCGGTATATAATCCGATAATTACATATGTAAATACAAGAAATAATTGTGTAATATTAGTTAAAATCGTTAATTTTACCAAATGACCGTATATATAATAAGGAAAATTATTTGTCATCAAATAAAATTATATAAAATTAAATGAAATCATATGTAATCTGTGGGACAATATTTTAGATAGTGGTTACCCCCTCGAACGAAACGAACAACTGCTCACTAATGATCTTGTACATGAGGTTTGTTTTTTATTGTTAATCAATGTACACATTTAGAATTTAAAGTATATATTACACATATACATATGTAGATATGATATTTATAATAATAAAAGTGAGAAAAAGAGATTTAGTGCAGTTCTTCATCTTTAGTGCATGAATAAAAAACAGATTTACGTTGTCATTATCACCAAGTTCCTTTAAGACACAATAACGAGCCACCGCAACAATCCATTTTCTTGATATTTACAATAAAAATATCGATTATGCTTTAAAAGAACCAGTGGAGGATTAATAAAACTTTTTCAACGTGCCATATTTCTCAGTTTTAGTATTTATAATATAACAAAATAAATTAAAAAATAATCCTTTTTTTCTCCATAACTTTTATTTCTAAAAAGTATAACAACAGCGCCCCAAAAACTATAGGAAATAATCACTTTTTGCGCTAAAGAAAGTCTTTTTTATTGAATAGTGTTCTTAATGCTACACTTGTCATAATGGAAAAACAGATATAAGGTAATTTATTATTGCCTCTAATAGCGTTTTTAGCTCGAGCAATTTTGCACCAACCTGGGTTGAATTAATATTCTATTAATAGTTTACGTTACATGTTCTACCAATAGGAAAGCATGCAACGTCATTAATCCAATCTAAATCGGTGCAAGCCCGCTCGAACGCATAATCGAATGCTATAAAATTAAAAGATGTTTTTTCATAATAATAGAAATGATAATACACTTATTTATACAATAACACTACAATAATCAAAATTGACTGCAAGATTATTTTTTACAATTGTATTTTTTCTTATATACAGCCTTTCACCGAAATAACATTGTTTTATATACAATAATACAGATATATATAATAATATATTTTATTGCAACAAACACAGTATCGCACAATTAGAACCTAATAAAATAATATTTATAAATAATATTTATATAGTAATACGTTTAATAATATTATTTACATATAATATTATTATATTGTATGACAATTTTTATAATATTTATAAATATTATTTATAAATAGATAAAAATTATTTAAGATATAATATGAGCGATAGAGAGAGAACGTAAGTAAATACAACTCAAGTTTTATGGTTAACATTTTTGTTTCTAATTACTTTTTATATACTACATATTCGTCCAACTATTTTTATATATATTATATAATATATATAAAGGCAATATTTTTAGAAGGTTTTTATGATATTGTACTTGGAATATGATAAACATTAATTAAAGTTCTATATTAAGAGCCAGATAATTGCGAGTTGCATAGTAGTTTTTATTTTAAGCTTAGAGATACATTTATTTTTTACGAGATTTGTAGACATATATATATATATACACACATATATACTATATATACGAAGTGTGTACAAAAAGTTCGTGCACTCGGTTCACCAAAAATTCAAATTAAATTATTCTGTAACGAGGATGTGGTCACCCTCGAAGTACTCTCCCCTTGACAGAATGCACTTGGTCCAACGCTTCTTCCTGAAAACAGTGCTACATGTCTTCCTTTGTCAATCCTTTTAGCAGCTCCATCGTTTCTCTTGTTATGGTATCAACATCCACAAAATGTTCACATTATATTTTTTACTTTAGGGAACAGGTAGAAGTCATAGGGTGCTATATCAGGTGAATAGAGAAAGTAGTAGCGATATTATTTTGGCCAAAAACTCGCGCTTAACGAACGTGGTATGCGAAGGTGCATTGTCCTAATGCAGGATCCATGCGTTCTCCGCCCACAATTCAGGTCGTGTACGTCGCACATGTTAACACAGACGCTTTAAGACTTCAACATAGAATTTTGCATTAACAGATTCACCTTCTGGAACATAATTCATGATGAATAACTCCACGAATATCGAAAAAAAACTATTGACACTCTTCCTTTCCTTCTTAAACCGGTCCACCCATTTATACACACAGTTCTATGCTTTATGGCAGACCCATCATACATCATTTTCAACATTTAAAGAATTTTCTGGCCGTTCTTGTTAAGTTTTACGAGAAATTTGATATTGGTTCTTTGCTCGGTTAAAACATCTTGCTCCATTCCGCCAACACGACCAAAAAGTACGTTAACAGACACGAAAAGCAATTAAAGATCTTACTCGACCGTGACCTAACTTTACTAAGGATACGTGACTTCCCTCGAGAGGTTGCATCACTGTACAAGCTTATAGCGTCACCACATCGGCAGAATAAAATTCAGTGCACGAATTTTTTATACACACCTCGTATATTAGATCAATCAGAAAGTTCCGTCCGTTTTTTTTGCAAAAAATAATATTTTATTTAAGAAACAAAGTGAAAATACATCAATCAAAATATTGTCCATCGTTAGCAATGATTTTTTCCCATCTTTCGGGCAGCAAGTGAATTCCGCCGCAAAAGAATGACTCATCCTTGGAGGCTATCCAATCAGAGACCCATTTTTCGACGTCTTCATAAGAATTGAAGCGTTTCTCAGCAAGTGCGTGAGCCATCACTGAAATAAGTGGTAGTCGGAAAGGACACAGTCTGGTGAATAAGCTGCATATGGGGTAGCACTTCCCAGCAAAGTGCTTTTAATGTTTCCTTAACAGTCTTTTCGATTTTGAAAAAGTTAGTGCGCACTCAGTTCACAGCAACACTGGACGAGTTCTATGGGTTGCACTGATAGTGCAAGTTCAAAGGAACACGCCAAGATTTTTAGTGCAAAAGCTGAAGTGCCATTTTTAATTGTAAGTGTAAGTACTTGACTAGACTGCAGTATGAAAATGTGACTAGACAAAGTATGGAATGTCTTTTTCCATTTTTTTTACACATCCCACATAATTTATGGTTTTGAAAATTATTGCTCTAATTCGGAGAGTTGTAATTATTTCTTCATCCTCGCTTGAGCTTGAAGAAAATTTCCAAAATATTAAAAAGAATTAAATCCGAACTCATTTTGTTCACTTTGAAACGACGTTTTACAAAACGTGACAAAACCACAATATAAAGATATACAGGAGGAACAAGACCCCGTTTTCGATTCAACCACGCAGATTTGCTTGTCCCTACTGTGTATTCTTATACATATTGTGACAAAATGATGTACTGATATTTTATGTATGTATCTAGTACACTGAACTGGCACCGTCAAAATATTTTAGTACGCCACTTAGTGCGTACTGAGTGCTCACTATGCGAGTGTCGTTGCGATCAAATGACAACTAGTCAAGTGCGCATTGGCATTACCAAATGAACACGCTCTTGATACTAAGTGCAGCCAGTGCACCCCAATCGAAAACGCTATTAGTG